GGGACTCGGTGAAGATGATCGCCGACACGACCGAGGTGAAGCTGCGTATTCGCGAGAGATACGTCGTGCAGATCACGCCGGCGTTCAAGTGCTCCGGCGTGTGGCCGCGGTCGGCGGCCCACTGGCCGATACCGCACATCCCGTGGCCGCATCCGAACCTGGTGGCGGAGGTGAAGACGGAGGGCTTCGACCTGCTGTCGAAGGAGAGCGTGGCGCTTCAAGGTAAGCAGTCGGCCATGGAGGGTGACGCCTGGGTCTTATCTTTCACGGAAGCGGAGACCAGGCTGCTGCAGGGCGGCTGCCGCAGGAAGTGTCTCAGCATACTGAAGACCCTGCGCGACCGGCACCTCGACCTGCCCGGCAACCCGGTCACCAGCTATCACATGAAGACGCTGCTGCTGCACGAGTGCGAGAAGCATCCCCTCGAAACCGAGTGGGACGAGGTGTGCCTGGCCGATCGTATAAACGGCATCTTCTTACAGCTGATATCCTGCCTCCAGTGTCGCCGATGTCCTCACTACTTCCTGCCGAATCTCGACCTCTTCAAGGGAAAGTCGCCCAGCGGCCTGGAGAACGCCGCGAAGCAAGTCTGGAGACTCACGAGGGAACTGCTGACGAACAGCCGCGCTCTGGAGAAGCTTTAGCGTCTTCCTCCACGCCATTGCGAGACGCACGAGCAGGGAATCGATCGATGACTCGTGGGGGGGACTTCGGCAACGTCGCCGTCGCGTGATACAGTATTCGCAGTTACTGCTATTACTTAATACACACTTGTATCAAGGGCTTATTAGGAACGGTGCACTTTTGCCTCCGACCGCATGTAAGCCACTTCGAACTATACTCGTTTTCCTTTCAATAACAATCACGATTCGACGAGCAATAACGGTTCTCGGATAAGCAGCCGGCCTTCGACTTCGTTTGCCTCCTCCTCTCCCCGCCGGTTCGAGTAGTCGTGTGAAAGTTCAACCGCCCAATCGTCGTTAAGGGTTTAGTTCTAATACGAATTCGCAATGCGCGTCGATTGGTCCGACTGAAATCAGTTCTTTGGTCCAACGGTGGATGATTTCTTTTCGACCGCGTCGAATTGTCAACGTTGCTGCCACGATGAGACACGGGAGAAAATTACGAAGAGATGTTACATCGGGCGCGCGTAATAATAGGACGCGCGAAAAATCCGGCGAAATTCATGCGAACGAAGAAGCTTACGAGCGGATGAAAGGCTAACTTATATTAAATCGAACGATTAGAAATAGAGGAATTATGATTTCGTCGCTAGATCGCTGGATAAATTTGGAAGACGTGCCCCCCGTCTTCTGGATATTTCGCAACCTTCCGTACAAAACTTCCGCCAACGAATATTTCCGCACCCGAAAACGTATATTTCAACGAGATTAATCGGTTTCTCGCTCTCCGAGTTACTCGCGACAGAATGAACGAAAGTATGCGATACACTTGAATTAAGTATCAATACGATTAACTGTTTATACAACACGAAGAGTAATGCGATTTGTTGTCTTTATTGATTGATATTTATAATCGGTTAGCGGCGAGCTTCCGACGGTAGCTAGATCACTCATTGTTACACACACACGTGTATGTACATATTTTCCTTTCGCATTATTTAAATAATATTTATTTTATTACCGGGTTATTATTTGGAAGATATAAAATGTAAATAACAAATAAATGCATTTATCACACGCATCATCAATGAAACGAGCGTTCACCTTCAATGAAGCGACACATTACCTCCCTTGAAATTACGTCCGAGCGAAGTTGAGAGATTTAAGTCGTCATGTTAACTCGATAAATTATCGTTACAATATTCCAAGCAACATTACAATTACACATCTTCTTTTAATCATTGGGATATTCGTGTTACGCAAAAGTATTAATGTGGTTTTACGCGATAGTTGTGAAATTGTGCTATTTGCTTTGGGGAAAGATTATTTCTTAACTCGACGAACTTTGTGAAGGAATTAACATTACCTGAATCGTAAATATCGCGTTTCATAATAAATAATCGGACATGCGAATTCCTCGCGCAATTAATTCCCGGATGGGATCGCCTCGCTCTTCGCTTGCGAGAAACTTTTTCCAACGACACGTTGTACGCATCGAGTAATGTAATGTACGCAATGAACTTTATGCAACAAATATTTGTACTCAGCTGCGTGTTATAGGAGCCTGGAGCGATTCACTGGCAGCGAGGCACACTATCATCTTCATTATACGTCTGCATAGAGTATCACGTTCTTATCTTAATTTTATCCTTAACGTCTCGCGTCTGCCTTTACTGGCAGTGACATTCGTTAGCTGGTGCCGTTCGCTCGCTTTGCTTTACTATATTACACTCAAGCACTTCCAAATGATAATTGTTATTGCGCTATAGCACGAACGGCAAGGATCTCTATTGATCGTGGAATATCAAATTAATCGGCATTCCCCGCTATATAAGAAATCCACAGCAATTTTCTGTCGTGTATTAATATACATTGAGATTAAGATATTAACCTTAATTTCGCATTCACGGGTCAAACCGACCCGAGCGAAAGAATTAACATCTTACAATTGTTAAATCTCGAATTATTATTGTACATATAAACATAGAATTCTTTTCTCAAAGCTTGCCGAATTTTCTTATTCCTTCCCGCGTAAAATTCACCGTCAATAATCAATTCACCGTCTTCTCTCATGCCTTACATCGTCTATGTTAAGAACAATGTTTGCGACAAATTTCCTCAATTTACCCTTCTTGTATATACAAAACTATAATATATGTACATTATATCTGTGTGGATATATAAAGCGCATTTATAAATGTTAAAGGCATGTCGGGAACGTTTTCGAGTCTCATAGATCCAATGCGACAAACCAAGCAGCAAAACGTACGTGTGCTGATAAAGGACAAGGACCTTTCGCTTTTTTACTTTTTTTTTTTTAATTTCTCTCCGCCGATACACGCGTAGTCTCTCACGTTATCGTTCATCAAGGATCGTCCTCCCCTACGTTTCGCCGTTGAAAAGTAGCCGAACGTTCCTCGAAATCCCAAACATCAAGCAATCGGCTACGATAACGAATTACTATCAAGACCCAGGACTCTCATCCGCGTTAACCCCTTGCAAACGAAATATCCTTGAGCTCTCTCGAGGTAAGTCTACCTATCTCGCGGCGCGATTGCGGTCCACCATGTCGAAAATTTCGGAATAACTAAAGGGGCTCTGCAGGGAGGGACCGAACCCTCCGCGGATGGGGAATAAACCAAGCGGTCGCTGCATAATTCATGGGGAGGAAGAAGGGCTACTACGAGGGTTACCTCGTGCCTCCGTCTCTCTGTCCCTCTCGCCGCACGTAAACGTTAAACCTGGAGCCGTTGGTGTGCCCGCGTCGGATCGATCTTGCCTGTCGTAGCCAACCACACCCACCCGGCGCGCAGCGGAGCAGCCATTGGCCGAGGGATCTCGCGGGGGCATGTGCTAGCAAGGAGGAGGTGTGCCAACTACGATTGCATGTCCTTGCTGGCCACTAGAGGGTGGGTGACGCAGAGGAGGTAGACAAGAGCGCAGTCGGCAATCTGCTTCTGCACGGAGACGCTCGTGATACCTCCTCTCGCCGCATCGTTCGTGTCTCCGACGTACGGTGAGAGCGGGGAGCGAGGAATTCGACTAGTGGACTGGGAGAAACACGGAGATCGTCATCACGAGGCGAATCACGAGCGTTCTTCGATGGAGGTATCGTGAGATATCGTAAAAGTCGGGCGCGAGGGTGCGCGGGGATGCGATGATCCGGAAAAGCTGAGAGATCAGATACAAGAGCCATCCGTGGACTGGGAAATACGGTCCACGATGTTGGTGCCGCCAGACATGCTGGCGTCCCACAACCGAATGCGCTATCAGTTCAACAAGTACTTCACCGAGCGAGTGATGAACCGGAAGAGTCAGGTGGCGAAAACCATCCAGGAGGTGTGCCGGGTGGTGCAGGACGTTCTCAAGGAGGTCGAGGTGCAGGAGCCGCGCTTCATCTCGTCCCTGACGGACTACAACGGCCGGTTCGACGGCCTCGACGTGATCTCGCCGACGGAATTCGAGATCGTCATCTATCTGAATCAGATGGGCGTGTTGAATTTCGTGGACGACGGCACCCTGCCGGGCTGCGCGGTGCTGAAGCTCA